TAAAATGTTTCATTTTTTGGTATGTGTTTATCTCTGAGAAGCACAATGCAATGCAGGTACCGCTAACCCATAGCCTTCTGTTTATCTCTGGAAAATGGTGCCAGTGAGAAGGCATATCTTTTATTTTAATTAGATGGTAGAAAAATTGCACTACACAGTGCTCTCTGGTACCTGGAGCAGACATTTCCATGTGTCTAACAAGGCCAGTTGCACAACTAACCTGGGTCCTTGGAGTACCCGAGGCAGGTTGGGTACCGCTGAGAGGTCTGCCTAGGCTGGGCCAGCCAGTTCAGCTCCTGGCACAGAACAAAGGGCAGGTATCTTCAGGATGGAAATTAGCCCGAAACAGCAGGTCCCACACAGCTCAAAGCCAATAGGAAATTACCAGGAAACCGTGGGTACAAGATAGAAGCCATGCTGCGATCTTCACCCTCCTCTTTAATAAAGCTGCATTATTAGAATGTGGACCTCAGGGTGCAAGAGAGCCAGGTCCTATGTTAGGGTGACCACCTCACTCCAGTGTGCTGGCAACTTTTCTGATTTGACATTAAAAGCCATGCCCTGGGAAAGTCTGCCATGTAGGGCCATCCAGGACAGCTGGCACTTAGGAGTCCACCCAGGGACTAAGTGGTACAGGAGGGGAGTTAGTAATGCTGTTTGGTCCCAGAGGGACCCCCCCCCCGTCAGGAGGAGGAGAAGATGCTGGGAAAGAAAAGCACAGAGTGGTACTCTACCCCTTCGGCCTTCTAGATGAAAGGCGCTTTGAGGGAAGGGACAGAATCTTACTTATTTTTGGATTTTTTTTTTTTTTTCTGATACCAGGAATCAAACTCAGGATGTTGCACTTACCAGGCAGGAACAGTGCCACTGAGCTAAATCCGCAGTCCTTGTGTCTTTTGAAAAAGTTAGCACTTTGCCCTCCACAGAGAAGAGCTTCAAAATAATTTTTGCACTGTTTCTCTCCCTTTATTAAATCTTTGCGAAAAAAATATCTCAGAGGGAAGAATGTGTGAAAGTAAATACTGCGTGGTGGATTGTATGGGATCACTTGAACAATATTTAAAATTAGTGTAATCTTAAGCTTACTTAATTGTGATTCTTTGAATGTAACCTTGCTGAAAACAGGTGGAGAGTTTTAAATTTCAAAACCACCAAAGTGCTAGGATTCCTAAGGTCCTTCCCCCTCGTATATGTAACGCGAGGCCTGCATTACATTTTCTTTACATCTAATATATATTAAAAAGTGAAGCTTAAAATACTTTCCTAGAGATTTGAAATTTGATTCTTTAGTTTCAGTTTTGTGATTGTTCATTTACAACTGAGCAGTGGGAACAAATTGTTTTTCTTTGGGCAGGGCGTGGCTTTTGCTCTGAAAGCTTTTCCTGTAACTTCCAACTTCTGACTTAACCCCTGCCAACAGCGTGTCACAGTGAGGAGTTTCGGAGAGAAAGAGCTGTAACAAGAGGTGCGTCATTAACTTTGAAAACAGAATAAAACTTTTAAAATGGTGTTAATGAATAAATTCTGACTCTAAATTCTAGTTTATGGGAGGAAAAGAAATGACCTCTTCCACATTTCCTCTTCCCACGGCGATGAAGACTCTAGAGGGGCTGGCTCGTTTGTGTGAGTTTAGCCAAATCAGTTCCTTCACTTTTAAGGAACACATTTAGACCATTGCTTCTAACCCACTTCAGTCTCTAAGGCAAAGTGGGTTGAAAGCCTCTCCATGTAAAATTCCCCTTTCAAAAGCTGAGCTGAGGGAACATTATAGGTGGAAGCTATTATTTTTGTCTGCCTACATAGAGAATATTTATATCTAAGCATCACATTAGAAATGTGACTTTTGCTGTCCCATTTTGTCATACATTTCTAGAGGACACTAATGGATTTTGGGTAGGCTCCCCAGCACCCCTTCTACTTCATTCCCATTTCGAAAAAAAACTTGATGTTTGGGAAAAAAACACTTTCTCTCCACTGCTTGGCACAAAGTATGTTCAGAATTATTGGGAATTTCATATCCTTGCAGGTTTAGACTTGGGTGACGCTATTCTCACCAAAGCGATCAAGGGAGTGGTTGCTTTGGTGGCTGGAAGTTTCAGAGGGAGGGAAAAAAAAGACCTACGAGTCACTTCTACCACCCAGTGGGTGTGGTTCCTTTGCCACTGGCAGTTATCTTTACCACTAAAGGAACCAGAAGCCAACTGTAGTAGTAAGAGCTGAGTGGAAAACCAGAAAGAACTCAGCACGCAATCAACATTGTTGGGTTGCTACTTCAACTAGTCCTGAAATCTGTCCTGCTCTGGATTCTGTGATTCACAAGACCACACATATCCTTATTCCTCATGCCTATTTGAAACAGATTTCAATGATGACTGAAATTTTAAATATTTGCAGGGGGGGCGGATAATGGAAGTCTGGTGTCATTTTGTCCCTCTGTGTCTGATCACTTACTCTTTTTTTTTTTTGGTACCGGGGATTGAACTCGGGTCCTTGCGCTTGCAAGGCAGGCCACCGAACCGCTGAGCTAAATCCCCAGCTGATCACTTACTCTTTTTTTTTTTTGGTACCGGGGATTGAACTCGGGTCCTTGCGCTTGCAAGGCAGGCCACCGAACCGCTGAGCTAAATCCCCAGCTGATCACTTACTCTTACACAGCAGGTGAGCAAACTGCAAGGGACTCTCTGACCCAACCCAACCACGCAGGTAATGGCAGTGTGTGAAGGGGACCCTCTGGTGACAGCCAGCTGCTATCTTAGCTGTGTCACTGACGTAGCTGCTGACGTTGTCACTTGTTGACCAATCATGCTGCGAGTGAATGAATAGGCAGAACACTCACATTCCCCAAGTGCCAAAACAAATGCTACTTCTGCTACATGAGGTTTTACACAACTCTCCTGGAGCTTGGCCTTACCCTATTCAAAATGGAGAACATTTCGGGGTCATGATGAGGATAATTGCTAACAGTTACATGGTCAAATACCGTGTTTACTACTGAACTTGCTTTATCTCATTTCACAGTAACCCTGAGAGGTTGGTACTGTGACAGGGCCTGCTGGGCAGACAAGGAAATGAATTCTCAAGTAGGTTGGGAACATCGCCAGAGAAGGCTCCACTAATGGGGACGCAGTATTCAAATTCAGTCTCAGGAAGACTCACAATTGAACTAGTGGCCTCCATCATCCCTTCAGTCTGACAGTCCATGGATCTAAGATCCCCTGGTTCACCAATGAACAGGCAAGTCTTGAGGCTGACACTGGAATTAACTGATCAAATCACAAACTAATCGTCAGTAGAGTAACTCTAGTCCCTATTGTCTCCCCTGATGCCTCCAGACTCTTGGTAATGTCTATGGTCTCAAGCTCAGGCCAGTGGATGCAACCTTAGATTTTGCTATCAAAGGTCTGCTATGGCAAGGTACAAATCCAGGTACTGTGCTTGCAGCTATTAAGTCCTTAACAGCTGTTAAGGTTTCTATGTGGATGTCCCCTAAGAGCCTGTTGGGATCAGAGGAAAGTCTAGGAGGAGGACTGGGCCATGGGGGCACAATAGCTGATTTATTGTTAGGAGGCGGGGCCTGGTTGGGAGAAGCAGGTCACTGGGGCTGGGACCTGAAAGGGTATAGCTCCCTCCCCTACTCTTCCTTTCCTCTCTGCTTCCTTGCTACCACGCCATGGGCAACTTTCCTAGCCCAAGGTCCTCCCACCGTGCCACTTCTGTATTTAAGCTTTGGGCTGAAACTTTTAAATTGGGAACCAAAACAAACTTTTCCTCCTTTTGTCCCCAAAATGGAGAAAGTGGTTAAGACAACACCCAAGGATATTGCATATTGTTAATATTTTTATTCATTTAATTGGACTCTTCTGAGCTGCTGAAGATAGTGAACAAAAGAATGGAAATATTCTCCTGGTACTCGCCTTCTAATGGTGGGGAGATGGAGGGGTAGAGCACAACAAGCCAAGAGCACCTTCAAACACCCCATTAAGTTAAATGATTTACTAGTACTTCTGTGCCAGGTTCTGTGCTTCCTGCTGCAGATACAAAAAAAAAAAAAAAAAAAAAAAAAAAAAAAAAAAAAAAAAAAAAAAAAAAACCCTATTCTCTCTTAGCCAGCTGGGTCTGAACAGCCGAGTGTAAACAGGTCTACTTATGCTTGGCTTTTTTGTTTAGTTTTGTTTTGTTTTGAGACAGGGTCTCACTATGTAGTTGAGACTGACCTGGAACTATGTAGCCCAGGCTGGTCTCGAACTCACAGTGGTCCTCCTGCTTCAGCCTCCCGAGTGCTGGGGTTACAGGCGTGCGACACCAGGCTCAGCTCTCTCTACTTGTGTGTGGGAAGGCATCTTTCTGCTAAATTCAGAGCTCTGTTGGACCAGTCTTCCTATGAAAGGCGGGAGCACAACTCACATACACATCTGCCAAGAAAAGGGTTCTTCTCTCAGCTGTGTGAAAAGAAAAAATGACGGCAATTTAATTTGAAGATTTTAGCTGGTCTTTATTTAGAGTTCTAAAGGTGGACAACCACTGTTCTGCCTAGAAGCAATACTGGACCAAATGGTTTCTAGACAGATCGTCAAGGACAGCAGACACAGAATTAAAAGTTCCTTTCCTGGTGAAGATGACCAAGCAGAGGTGACATCCTGGTCCTGCCTTCTGCACTTGCTCATCTGGGATCCAGTCCTGGCGCGGGAGACTGCAAGACCCTAGTTCGGGCGCACCTTAGGGGATGCGGGGAGTGACAGTGACTTCGGCTTACCCAGTGGCAAGGGCTTTTAGGAGCTCATTGGGTTCTAAACCCCTGAAGGGCACCCAACCTAAAGTTAAGAAAGGGGCGTGGTGCGAGACAGGACTCGTCTTTCCTGCTCTAATTCAGCTTCTCAGTGACACCTGTCTCCAGGTAGTACGTGAGTCCAACCAATCGGAAAGGGAGTTATATCCGATGCCAGCTCCGACATCCAATAGTAGGAGGCGTCTCAGACTCGGCTCCAGCAGCCCTAGCCCGGGGCGCCCTGCGGCTGCGCGTAGGAGAGGCGCCCGCCGCAGCCCAGGTCCCCGGGCGGTCTGCTCAGGCGTCGCAGAGCCGTCCTTTCCCTTTCTAAAGGTCTCCCGCGCCACTGGGCACCCGCCAGCGCCGAGTTCCGCGCTCTGGGAAGCGGCGCAGGCGAGTGGGCGCCTCACGCGTGAGCCTTACGCGTGCGCAGGCGTTTCACAGAGGGTCGTCGTCCCCAGTCCACGGGGATTTTACGGAAACCGAGATGGTGAGGCCCAGACCCAGTCCTGCCGGGCACCCGCGTCCTCTGGGCGCCGGTGGTCACGTGGGGGGCACCCGGAGGGGAGGGGAGGAAAGGTCGCGGCGGCCAGCGGGGGAGTGGAGGCCGGGTCGGTGGCCCGGGCCTTGGGTTCGGGGCGACTCTCCTGGCTCCGGGCCCCTGCTGCACCTGCCTGAATAGCAGAGCTTAGGTTAATTAAGTAAATGTGACTCGATAATATATGTAAAACTGATTTTCGAGAAGGCCAGCAGGCCAGATAGTGCGATACCTTTTAAGTGCTTTTTATGGCCGGATACTGGGTTCAGCCCTGTATAAACAATGCTTCCTTCCCTAGTCCCAACAATGCTGTAAACGAATAACGTCCTGTTTGGGGCGGGGAAACTCCAGGACCTGTTGGAGATTGTGTCCGGGATTGCACAGGGGGGTGGGCAGGTGCATGCAGGTCACTGGGCACAGCTCGAGCTTTGCTGAGCCCTCGGGTGGCCCAGGAGCCCCAGATCCTGTAGGAATTCAACGGCTGGTTTCAGTACTGTGGTTCTCTTGTCTTCTTTTTTTTTTGGATTTATTCAGTGTGTTTTAAGGAAACAAAGAACTCGAGAGTTCTTCTGTTTGTTCCTTCTCTCTCTCTCATTACAAAATAAAATTTGCAAGAATTTCTGATGAAAACACAAGGAGAGGGTGGAGGAGGGGTATTTTACTATGTAGAAAGTCAAGTAAGGGTAACTTTTGAAGGTTCCAGAAAATTTTGTGTACACCAGAAAATTAGAGAGTAATTCAGATTCCTAGAACTTTTAACATGAGAATAGTTTTTCAGGGAGTGATTATAATTTCCCCTTCGACTGTTAAGAACAACGGAGCATAGTCTTAAGTAAAATCTTAAGTAAGCTGCCTGTATATACAACGTTATTTTTAAGCCATTTAGGAGTTTCAGTGTATTACAGAGCAGATGCCATACCAATAGTGACAAATGTCTTTCACCATCCCCCTTCCGGACTTCATGTGGGCTCACGTGGGCTGTGAATGCCAGCGAGAGTGGATGGACATGCCTTTATCCCGGCAAGAAAGCCTTTCCTGAGGAAGTAGCTGGTGTTTTGTCCCCTGAGTTGGAGGGGAGACACATTGTACTTCAGTTGCTGTTAGGATGGGTCAGCTCTTTTCTTCCCTTTGCTGTATATTTTTGGTGTGAAAAGTTGCAGAATTCCTCCCCATAGTTTGTAACAGTTTCATTCCTAAAGGCTTCATTTTCATTCTTGAAAGGTACTTGAGAATTTTTCACTGGAGGTTGGTTTATAGCTCACCACTTGCTGTTAGAATGAAATAGAATGTGATGGTGATGGTCTTAGATCCAGGCCCTGCTAAGGAAAGACGTGGACATTCTGGAAAGTGGAGCGCTCTGCTACTGGCTTGGGGATTCCGATTTACTGAGGACATGAAATTAGTAAGAGCTGATTGCAATTTCTGAGCTCAGCCAGTCACTGGAACTCAGCTTCACCATATGTAAAAGGAGATTAGACTAAATTATTTATAATTTATTTTAGTTTTATAATAATATTTTTCTGCCTGTCACGGTACAGACGCCCCCCGCCCCCCCCAAAAAAACAGCAGCTCTGTAACTAGAGTGAAAAAGGGAAACTGATTTTGAGAGCCTGTTCTGTAACCTTTGTGAGTCCCCATTTTATGCTCAAGGAAACTGAAGCTGGAGAAAATAGCACTGACCAAGATCACCTGTCCAGTGTGAGCGCACTTCCGGGACACTGACGGCTTCAGTCTTTAATCTTTCTGCTTTGTCCACGCTGTGAGTTTGAAGACAAGTGCAGTGCACTTGGATCCAGGCAGTGTGCTAGGGGATTACTCAATTTAAGGATTAACAGTCCGTGTTCCTTGAGGACCCATTTTACTCAAGGTTTGGGAAAGCAATTTGGATTTGGATTTTGTGGGAAAAGGTCAATGACAGGTTTTAGGGTTTGTTTGTTTTTTGTTTGTTTTTTTTATGGTGGTGTTTTGCATATGGAAAGTGGTATAAGATATTTTCACATTAAAACACTTGGGATACAAAATTCATATGACTTTGAGGTATAATGAGATGAGAGAGATGTTTCCTATTTGTGGTAGGGCATTTAAGATTACAATTTCACTTCTGCTTTTTTAAAAATAATAGTTTTATTGAAGTATAAGTCATACGTCATTCAGTTCACTAAAATGTATGGCTTTATGGAGTTGCATAACCATCACCACAGTCAATTTGAAGACATTTTATCACCTCCCAAAGAGCCACATACACTTTGGCATTTACTTTTCCCAATATCTATCCCTGGATAACTCATGTAATTCATAACTTTCTGTCTATAGACTTGCGCTTTCTAGGCATTTCATCTAAATGAAATCATATACAGGTGATCTTTTGTAACTGCCTCTTTCACTTAGCATAAAGTGCCAATGCTTATCCAAGTTGTAGCATATATTAGCACTTTATTCCTTTTTATTGCCAGATATCTCAGTTTGTAGTTATGCCGCATTTTGTTCAATCCTTTATTAGTTGTGGACATTTGATTTGTTTCTAGTTCTTGACTGATAATCCTCTGTGAATATTTGTGTACAAGTTTTTGTGCAGGTACATGTTTTTATTTTTCATGGGCATGTATCTGTTGGTAGAATGGCTGAGTCTTATAATAATTTTATATTTAACCTTTAGAAGAGCCTCCTGAATGATGTTCAAAGTGGCGGTACCATTTTACATTCCCATTAGCAGTTTATAAAGGTTCCAGTTTCTCCATATATTTTCCAACATTTAATTGTTAATGATGTTTTAAATTTAATCATTCTAGTAAGGATGAGGTAGGATCTCATTGTGGTTTTTTGATTTGCACTTCTTTAATGATGTTGAGCATCCGTTTATGTACTTGTCATCTGTATTGTCTATGAGAAATGCCTTTAGGTCCTTTGCAATTTGATTATTTGACTATTACTGAGTTACAACAGTTCTTATATATTCTACATATAATTCCCTCATGAGATAGATCATTTGCAGATATTTTCTTCTGATTCTTGAGTTGTCTTTCCACTTACTTGATGGAATCATTTGAAACACAAAATTTTGTTTTTAAATGACATCCAATTAATTTCTCTTTTTTTATCACTTGTAGTTTTAATATGTTACAAGAAGATTTTGTCCAATCCAAGGTTATGAAGAGTTGATCCTATATTTTAGACACTGTAGCTGTCACTCTTAAGTGAGGTCTGTGGTCAATTTTGAGCTAACTCTTACGTGTATTAGGAGCTGGGGCTCCAGATTCATTCTTTTGCAGGTGGATACCTAATTGTCCTTGCACCATGGGTTAAATTGTCTCAGAATCCCTCTGCTCCTAAAGGTTATTTTATTGGAAAAGTTGTTGACATCCTGTGATGTCCCATTTGTAGTAATTCGTCTAAGGGCTTAGTTTAAAAAAAATGCAGTGTATGAATCTCAAGGACCATATTACAAAGAAGTCCTGATATCATAGAACAAAGTTGATTTTAAGTCTAAAGCCTGTCTTTGCCTTGACTGATTCATTATTTTGATTATTTATGCCCTGTTTTGAGTTTTAGATATTTGAAAGTATGCAGCATTTTTCTCCTGAAACATGACATGTGCATATATTTTTGTGCTATGCACTTAGTTATATTAGATATTTGTTGGATTAAAAAAAAAATAACCTAAAAGTGTCCAAGCAAGACTTCATGCTTTCGGGCTGGGGATTTAGCTCAGCGGTTTGGTGACCTGCCTTGCAAGCGCAAGGACCGGAGTTTGATCCCCGGTACCACAAAAAAAAAAAAAAAAAAAAAAAAAGACTTCATGTTTAGAAGTTAAATTTTAGGGGCTGGGGATTTATGTCAGTGGTGCCACCGCCTGCTTTGCAAGCACAGGGTCCCAAGTTCAATCTCCAGTACCAAAAAAAAAAAAGAAAGAAAGAAAGAAAAAGAAATTAAATTTTAGGATGTCCTAGAAACACAAACGATTACAGAAGAGCTGTTGTAGGTGATCTATAGGTAACCGAGATTAATGGTAATTATCTTTCATGTGTCATCGTGATAGTCAAGGTGCGGTGAATGAAAGTGAAGGCTGACAGTTATTTCTGTACCTCGCGCAGTGACTTGCAAACAGGTTGGATCTGAGGACTGGCAGGGTTCAAATGCTAGACTAAGGTGCCTGGACTTTTTATATAGGAAGGGGTTCCTTTGAATTTTTTAAATTTACTTTTTGGGAAGTGTCCTGACAGAGCTGTGCTGAGGAAGATTAAGTTGGCAGCGGATTCCGGGTAAGAGAGGGGAAGATGATCAAGAGAGGAGAGCGAGTAGAAAGATGCAGGGCCCTGGACAGGGCTGCTGAGGACCCAAGGATCAGGCAGAGGCCAGAGGGGGAGCTGTGGCTATTGGGAGCGCAGCATCCTGGACTGCACTGTGGATGGCCGCATTGCAGAGAGAAGAGGCAGTGTGGCTGGACTGGCAGCTGATGGTGAACTCGGAAGATCTTCGTGTGTCCGAGAGAATGGGAGGGTACAGTAAAGGATCAGAGAACTGAGGAGAGGGGAAGATTGGGGAGCATGAATGACGCACCCATTCTGACGTACATCCAGTTGGATTTGGCAGCAGAGTGGTTTTTGCAGTGGGATTCTGTGGGAATGTAGAATGGTTACTCAGGCAAAGAGCCAAGAAGTAAATAAGGTTTTTAAAAATAAATTTATAACTGTATTTTCCTCTCAAATATACGGTCACCTCTTTGCTCTTTTAAACTTTCTCTGTTAATGGAAATAAATATTTGGGTGTTAGGAAGTAGCTGTGTTCAGAGGTACAGAGCTGAACTCCCAGCCCATTTTATTTTTGCTTTGAGATAAGGTATCACTGAACCACCTTGCCTGGTCTCCGACTTGCAGTCCTCCTGCTTCAGCCTCCAAAGTATCTGAGATTAACACACCCAGCTCACTCCAAGCTTTCATGGGGACATGCCTGCCTCTGACAGAAATTCTAAAATTACTGTGCCCTAGGAACCAGCCCAAATAATACCAAGCCCCGTTAAGACTGAGGCAGGAGATAAGTTGTGCTTAAGCACTGTGCCGCAGAACTCACGACGCTGAATGAAAGAGAAGTAGTCCTGTGTAGATCCTGATAGCTGGAATTGTTGAGCTGTGGTGTGGCTGTGTCTGTGCGAGCAGTCTTTTTGTTACTTCTGTTTTCTTGGATGGCACCAATGACAGATGTTCTGCACCCCATACTCAGAAAGCTGTTGTCTCCAATTAAAATGGTAGAGTTTTTCTGGTCTTCTCACAGATTCTTGTCTTTGGACTTCAAAGCTTTAAGTCACTGATTTTCAGAGGGGTCACAGCTTCGCTTCATGAGTGTCTGACCACCACACTGCAGATCGAAAGAAAGTCTCTGCCTTCGAGCAGTTGTAGTGTAGTGGGGAGAAAGAAGAATCCACAATAAGTGGCTTGTAAGTGTAACTTTGCTGTTGGTAGCCAGCTGCTGGGTACGTGTGGGCCCCACCAGGGTCTTCTCACTCTGCAGGAGTGAACCCCCCACACCTCTGTGTGACCACGGCCTTCATGACTTTGCCTGGCAGTGAAGCTTCACATGTCTGTTCTCTGACTCCCTCAGAACCCTGGGCCTCTCCCACATGTCTCCCTTCAGCCCCAGGGTGCAGCTCTAGTCTCAGCTGCTCTCAGGCCAGCATCTTCAGCATAGGTGGCCTTTTGTCAGCGTTCCAAGCCCGGCTAGGGTCAGCTGCCTGCTCTGTTCATGTCTCTGCCAGGGCCACTTGGTCGGTGGGAAGAACAGTGTTGCTGATGACGACCCCTGGTACCAGCCATCAGCATGGCCCTCCAGTGCTGCTGCATCCCCACCCTCTCCCATTCCCACACTGACCATTTAAGGCGTTCTCTGCTCTGCAGACCTCTGACCTTCTACCACCCTGCTCCCTTTCAGTAACTGACCCAGAGAATGCCATGCCGCCAGCCCCAGCCTCAAACCACTCAGCCGACCTAGCCTTCCTCCTCTTCTGTAATAATGGAGGGGCACTTGGCCTTTCTAGAGCACAGCATTCCACCTAAATCATACATATATTGTTTTGTTCTTTCTTTTTTGCAGTATTGGAGTTTAATGCAAGGTCTCAGGCATGCTTGGCAACCACTCCATATTTCAGCTGTACCCGCTGGACCTTTTATTTCATTTTGGCACAGGGTCTTGTTATGTTGCCGAGGCTGGTTTTGAGCTTGTGATACTCCTGCCTCAGCCTCTTGAGGAGCAGGGATTGAAGGTGTGCTCACCTGCACCTGGCTATGTATGCTGTTTTCCTAGATACCAAAGAAGATGGAGCTTGATGGCAGGGATATCTCTTAGCTGAAAGTGGTTTTGTAATCCATGAATTGTTTTGAAAAAGAACAAACAATTTTTAAAGTTATTAAGAAGAGTTAAGTCTTTGGCAGTAAAATAGCGATTTGAGAAGGAAGAGATTATAAAATTTATTTTAACAGCTGTTGCATTTCTTCATAAGTCACTGTGGCATCTGTATCCCTTGATACAGTGATACTTGATGGTCACTGTCACATGAATACTGGGGCTGATGGAGACTGGGCTGAGACCTTTTTCTCAAATAGCTACTTTCTTCCCTCTTTCCTTCCTCCCTTCTTTCATCTCCCCACTCCTCTACCCCCCTCCTCCCCCTTCCTCTCTCCCTCCCTCCCTCTCTCTCTCCCCGCCCACCTTTCTTTCTTTTTTTGTGGTCCTGAGGACCGAACCCAGGGCCTTCTCACTGAGCTACATTGCATTATCTCCGCTTTTTGTTTTTACTTTGAAATTGCCCAGACCGGGCTCGAGCTTGCAGTCTTCCTGCCTCAGCCTCACAGTGTACTGGCCTTTCGGGTGTGTGCCCTTTTACCCCACTACATTTATTTCTTATCCCCCCTGTCTGCCAGTGGTTGAGCCGATGTGGTTGGACTTCCACCAACTATTTCTGTGGGTTAGGGAACCGCAGGGTACTATTCAGTAAAGTAGAAAAACCATCTGTCTCCCTGGAGCCTCTGAAAACTTGATATTATTTGGGTTTGTTCAGAAGAATCCTTTTGTTTCTTCACTTTTCTAGTCGAAAGAAGAGTTTCTGCTGCTGTGGAGGCAGGGCAGCCAGTAGGAGCAGTATTGGTGGGGGCGAGGAACATGAGGAGTGTGTCCGGAGGGAATCGGGCAGGTGCACAGCGATTTGTGTGTACTCCAACTGTAGTTTATTGAAATGACGTCGAATTTTAAGTCACTGTGGGTAATGCGGGCGTATAAAGTTTACGAGTGCCAATCCTCTTCCTCTGTTGTCTGCACCTCTGAAACTTAAAGCAGGTCCCACAGCGTGACCACTTACGGCTTGTGTCCCCGCTCCAGGAGCCCTGACTGCTGTCCCTGGCGTGCTCACCATGATGTTCCTAGCGCTGCTCCTGTTTTCCAGCCTGGCGACTGGCTGCAGAGGGAACTTTTCTTATACTTGGCCACCCAGGTTGCTGCTGGTGTCATTTGACGGTTTCAGAGCTGACTATCTGCAGAACTATGAATTCCCTCATCTCCAGAGTTTTATTAAAGAAGGTGTCTTGGTAGAACACGTTAAAAATGTTTTTATCACGAAAACGTTCCCAAACCACTACAGCATTGTGACAGGCTTGTATGAGGAAAGCCACGGAATCGTAGCCAATTCCATGTATGACACAGTCACAAAGAAACATTTTTCTGACTCCAACGACAAGGACCCTTTCTGGTGGAATGAGGCGGTCCCGATCTGGGTGACAAACCAGCTTCAGGAGAATAGGTCGAGCGCGGCTGCCATGTGGCCTGGCACCGACGTCCCCATTCACAATACCACCCCCTCCTATTTTATGAGTTACAGCCCCTCGGTGACGTTTAGGGAGAGGCTAAACAACCTCACTGAGTGGCTCAGCGCTTCCAACCCACCCGTCACCTTTGCCACACTCTATTGGGAGGAACCAGATGCAAGTGGCCACAAATACGGACCTGAGGATAAAGAAAACATGAGCCAGGTATTGAAGGAAGTCGACGACCTTATTGGGGACCTGGTCCAGAAACTCAAGGTGTCGGGCCTGTGGGAAAGTCTCAATGTGATCATCACGAGTGACCACGGGATGGCCCAGTGTGCTAAGAGCAGACTGATAAACTTGGATCTCTGCATTGATCCGTCAGACTACAGCGTCATAGACTTGTCCCCCGTGGCTGCAATACTTCCCAAAATAAGTAAGTGGACACTTAGCTGAGCTACTAACTGACTGAGGAGGGAGGGTGCGTGGATGAATCCTGCTGGGGCTCCTTGCAGCCCAGGACCCATCCTCCTGCTCATTTTGTGTGCTCTCCCTGGATGTACAAGCTGCAAGCAGTTGGCATAAGGGTTAGGTTCCGTGATTCTTCCTCTGCGTTTTGGTGTATTTCTTGATTATTCACACCAAGGGCTGTTCGTGTTTGTGTTGGTGATAAGATGTGTCTTGCTGCTGGGTTACTGTTTTCAAAGTTACGCTCTTGCTGGCTTGAACGACCAGCAGTCCATGTGTGATTAGATCCTTCTGTGCCACTGTTATTCACAGCACTCAGTGGGACGTTTGTGCCTGTCCCACTGGTGCTTCAAGCCAGCAAGAAGAACGTGTTAAAGAAATCTTTGTTTTAAGGTAAAACACACCTTTCTTTACGATTAGTAATTGGTAGTAATACACAATTAATTTCTGTTTACTTAGAAGCTCAATATGAAAAGAGTATCCATTCTATGAAAGTGAAGTGTATGAATGCTTGGGAAATGTGTGTGCATGTGCTTGTGTGTGTCTCCATCCCCAACATGGTCACATAATTATTCTCTGTTGTTTTAAGAATTAAAAGTGATTTAATAGATGACATTGTCCAAAATTTATTTCTAGTTGAACATGTTTTTCCTAATCAGTCAACTGTGACTTTTCTTTTTTATAGATATAACAGAGGTTTATGACAAATTGAAAAATTGTAGCTCTCACATGAATGTTTATCTCAAAGAAAATATTCCTAATAGATTTTATTACCAACATAATGATCGAATCCAGCCTATTATTTTGGTTGCTGATGAAGGATGGACAATTGTACAAAATCAGTCATTATCAAAATGTAAGTATTTAGTGTATTTCTGTTATAGTCTAGGGCTCCACCACACATTGTTTTGTTAGGAGGGTAATTTGATTTAGATTTTTGCAGAGGATTATTGGCTACCGTTATTAGTATTTGATTACCTACAGTAACCACAATAACATCCTTAGATTATAAGGTAACCTTAAAGGTATAGTTTTACTTCCTTACCAAAAGTGTGGTTACTGTCATTAATTTCCAGGATCACTTCTCTTAATGTATAGAAAATAAAGGGAAAGTACAGAAGTGAAGCTAGCTACTTCAATTCCTTTTTCGATGTGTGTTTTTTTTTTTTTTTTTTTCTGTAATCTTGAGTCTTTCCCCAGTGAGGAAAATCGTTCCTTTGATTTCCTCTATTTTGACCTATATTTTGACCACTGAGCAAGAACCAGAAAGTAAACAAAAAAATCCCCAGTAAATAAAATTGACCTATCAACATCTCTCCCAAAACAGAAATATACGGGGATGAGCTGTGGATCTTCCTCCAAGGAAGCTAATTTTTCTAAATTTACATTAAGTTTTAATACTTCAGTCTGATTTTGTAGTCCATAGCGGGGATCAGCACGCTTTTCTGAAAGGGCCAGATAGTAAATATTTTAGGTTTTATGGGCCAGCTATTATCTGAGCTGTTCAGCAGGGCTTTCATGGCGAGTATATGAGTTGCGGTGCTGTGCTTCCTGGACACTGGCTTACAGGAGTAGTCGGAGGGCCAGATTCGGCCACGGGCTGGAGTTTGCAGACCCTGCTACATCAGTCAAGGATAAGACAGACTCATAGTCAGTGGAGTTGGTATATTATTTATCTTTATGGTATTTTATATTCTCCATGTTGTAAACCTGTACAATACAGAAAAGAGAACAAAAGCATTCCATAATCCCTCAATACAGAGGCAGACAAATATCATGGCCTTTCCTCCTCATCTTATTTCCATAATTTGCATGTGCAGATTATATTATTGAAATCGTTATATTCTTTTTGTCATATTGATCACGGTATGTCAGTACACTTAACCCTGCAGTTATCCTCACTTAATATGAAAGTGGGAATTTATTAAGTGCAACTGAGGTACACCAAAAGACAACATTTATTAAAATAAAGCTAAATATGGGGACTCTGGTATTGGAGGTTCATCAGGGACCTGTTTATCCTGTTTTTATCTGAGTCAGATCTTTGCACAGGTCCAAAGTTGGTGTTATCTGCTTTCATTCCACATTCAGTTTAAGAGCCTCTTGTGTGGCGACCTCCTGAATCTGACCCCTGGGCTTGAGGAGTTTATTGACCGCCAGCCAGTGGTGCGTTCTGCCGCTAGTTCTTGGCGCAGGTGCACTGGAGATAGGGGAGGCTGGGTCTTCTCTCCCCAGGCACGTGGGACTCTCAGCCTCACCGCTCTTTCTATCACCAGTGCTGTGTAGTGAGTTTCACAGATGGTGGTAGAAGTTGGCAGGTGGAGTCAGTAGGGCTGGGGCTGAGAGGTGAGTGAATCTGGTTGAGGAGTAGAGTTAGCAGTCTGATGTCTGACCCAGGGGAGGAGGGGTGCATGTGAAACAGGGAACATGGCTAAGCTGAAGGAAAGGCAGATTTTAACTCTGGCTCCTGTCTGGTGCAGCTAACCAGAATTGCAATGGACAAAAGTTAGGCTGGATTTATAAAGCTATATACAGCTTATGAAGCGAGTGTATTTATACCAGAAGCAAGTTATTTTGTGATAAGGCCAATCTTACTAATACCATTTTGTTCTTTTCTCAGTAGGTGACCATGGCTATGATAATTCTTTGCCTGCTATGCATCCGTTTCTAGCTGCCCACGGCCCTGCCTTTCACAGAGGCTACAAGCAGAGCACTGTAAACATCGTGGATATTTACCCAATGATGTGCCACATCCTCGGATTAAAACCACAGCCCAATAATGGGACCCTCGGGCACACCAAGTGCTTACTTGTTGACCAGTGGTGCATTCATCTCCCAGAAGCCATCGGGATTGTCATCGGTGCGCTCTTGGTGCTGACAGCGCTCACGAGCCTCATAATACTCATGCAGAAAAGACTTTCTGCACCCCGCCCATTTTCCCGACTCCAGCTGCAAGAGGATGACGATGATCCTTTAATTGAGTAACGGGCTGGGGTTCATACAGTCTTTGATCAATCTCAACTCTAAGGACGCAGTCAAGGAATAGTGTTATAACCGTGAAAAAGGATGCTTTGAAAGACAGCTGAGATCAAGCGTGCTGGAAGTATTTTGTTTCCTTGTGCTTGTCCTGGTGCATTGCTAATACAAACAACCCTGACTATAGGAAAGTTGCTAGTACATCAGTTAATACCATCTGTTTCTCTAAATAGCTTTTCCAGAGAAATGTGCCACCCTTTTTTCTTTTCGCAGTGAAGATGATACATCTTTAAATGCAAATACACCAAAGTTTAGTAGGCATGTTTTTCTAATAAATTTATATATTTGTAAATGAAGCAATTTGTGAATTCTGTGTATCAGAGAGGAAAAGTTTTCTATATTTTTATAGTTGCCTTTAACACGTTCACAGAGTCACCATAATTCATACGTCTCGCTGCCTGGTGGCTTGGAACCACTGTGGGATGTGTGTGACTGTCCCCGAGCCACATGGGACAGTCCCATCGTCTGGTCCATGCTGCCCAGTGGGGCAGTTGTGCATGTTCCACTGGTGGTTCAAGCTGGCTAGGACACATTATTTAGTTTTTTTATCCCAAGTAAACCTTAGAGGTGGGAAATTCTGTGATGGTTAATAAAATTGGTTAGCCACGCTCCCCACCCAAATCCTGCCTCTGAAGAAACCGTTTTAAGAAAAGCTATGAAAAGATGAATGAAACCATCAGCACCATGTGATACAAAGCCTCAGTTGCCACCACTATATCTTTAAGATGCTTAAACCTTTGAAGTCTCAAAAGTTGAATCTTGGGGCTGGGGATTTGGCTCAGTGGTTCTACCACCTGCCTAGCAAGTGCAAGGTCCGGAGTTTGATCCCCGGTACCAAAAAAAAAGAAAAATGTTGAATCTTTGGAAGATTATTGCTACTAAGAAAGTCAGAAGAGAGAAAATACTTTTCTGTATGTTGAATGCCTTTGTGTGGTGTGTGTATGCACATGTGAGTGTATGTGTGCACTTGTGCTTGACTGCGTGTATGCGTGAGATGTTCTGTGACCTACTGTAGGATGTCCCAGGGCACTGACTTTGGTCAGGCATCCCCTAGAACACAGCTCTCAGGAAAGCTTATTTTTGCACTGCATATTTATTTATTTTTACCTAACTCACAAAGTCATAATTTTAAACTCATTAACTTTTGTTATCATTTCTAGCTTTCTCATGTTGTTTATTGTACCCTGAAGTGTCTAAGTGCTGTAGAAAACATGTGACCTGAATATAAGTCTGATTCTGATTGTATCAAAACAATGAAGAGAGATTTCTGTATTTACCTTTGGGGTGTTTTATCTTACTTTTTACTGATTTTTTTTTTTTTTTTTTTTTTTTTTTTGGTACTGGGCTTCAGACTCGGGTCCTTGAGCTTGTAAGGCAGGCACGGAACCACTGAGCTGAATCTCCCAGCCCTTATGTTACTTTTTAGACAATAGAATAACAAAGAAATGTAAAGTGAAATTTAGGGTTTTCAGATCTTTGCACTGTCCATATGTTAAGTGGTGGAGTAGCCTGGCTGGCTATCTGATCACAAGCTTGGTAACTTTTTCACATACAGAGCTAACCTACAGTAAGTATACAGCCCAGGTAGATGTTGGTTACCTGTGGTGTCGGTCACCAAACACAGCATGTGTCCTGGGGGTCACTGCTAACTTCCTGAGGCTGGCCTGTGGTGTCTGTTACAGAAACACTTGTTTCTGTACCCCACATAAAGAGTCCATCCTACTGGTCATAAACTTAGGATGTTAAGAACACTAGACAACTGATTGCTTTTGGATAAATTTTCTGATTTTTGTCTCCACATACAATAGTTATTATAAAGGTTAGTAGTTGATCTAAATGAAATTGAAAATTTCCTTTCTACTTCAATTTCTATTTAAAAAATAACAACTGCCACATTTCAAGTTTTGTTTTTTTAGAGGGTGGACATTTTCAAAATGTCTAACATAGTGGGATGTTTGACACTAGTTGGTCTTTGGAATGGTTTCAGGGATGGTTGTGAGTTTTAGAAATCTGTTTACAAGGTTGCCCGCTATGAGTGGATTTGGTATAGAATGGAATAAGCCAGATGTCCAGTCAGGGTCTTAACTCCTCTACAGGACTTTTAACCTTGTTAGCTCACCTTTCATTTCATTCTGAAAAGGTTAAATTAGGTAATTTTTAAAGTATATTTTGATGAGATAAAAGTAGTATTTGTTAAATCACAGGAATTTATATATCATTGTATTAAACATTGTACTAATTCACATGTCTCTTTAAGAAAATTATCACTATGAAAGCCAGTGACTCCTGTAGTGACTGAGAAAATCTTTTAGTAAAACTGGTAGCTTCTGACCCCCAGGCTCAGTGTGTATCTGTCTAGTTAAGGGATTGACTCACACGCTGCTGTGTTTTCTGGGAATGGGAAGCATTTGGCCCCAGCCGATGGTTTACTGTTCACAAGCCCAGTACAGAGGTAATAGGAAAACTTGGTTGAGTATTTTTTGTTAATTCAGTGGGTAAATTCAGAATAAATCTGTTTGATTGTAGGAATAATTGTCCTGCTATTGTTAATGTATAAATTTTTCTGGCAAACAGCAACAGATTAAAAGTACTTCAATGCCTTTGCTCTAGCCTTTGTGGTATTATTATATGATTAGGTTTCCTTTAAGAATTCACAAATGAGTTACTGGAATGTTAAAGATTAAAATGCCATTGCATTGTTCTTCGGTGTTTTCTTTCTTTGCCTGTGTCTTGTATACTTCAAGGACGACTATGTTTAATTCCATTTATTTGTAAGGTTTTGCTACTTGCTGATATATAAGGTTACAAGTGAAGGTCAAAGATTAGATATAAAGTATTCATTGTCAGTTCTTAAAATAGAGGTTAAAATAATAAGTGTGCTTTAAAGAAATTCATAAGTAGTGCCTTAAAGAAAAATATATTTTGACTGTATTGTTTGAGTTCATGGCTAATGACTCTGCTTAAGATTTTTAAAATTACGTGAATAAAGTCTACCAAAACATTTTACTGTAATTATTTTGTAGCAAGTACACTGACATCAGTGGTTTTTAAATTTCTCACCTTTTAGCAGAATATACATACTGTGAAAGATTTATTGCGAACTTTGGTAATTTTGCAAAAACTTTCATCACAGGTCTTTTTAAATGTAGAAACTAGGATTAAGGTATAACATTTAACCAAAATTTAAAAAGTGTATAAAATGGAGTCCTGCAGGAGACTATCGTTGGAAAGAAAGCCAAGGTAAATTTGCAGAGCCTCTAGAACTACAACTTATTGACTTACAAAGAAGAGAAATTTTTATAAGCTGATTATAAAACAGAAGGTTATGGTATTTAAACTTTGTTTTGCATGTGGCTACAGGCATTGAATGACTTAATATAGTTGGTGCAGTTCCCTTCAGTGGGCAACGAGCAATTCATTTGCTGTGTTTTCAAAATTCAATGAACAGTGGAACTGAGGGAAAACAATAATAAAAGGTGCTTTTTTTTTTTTTACTCTGGAAAAGAGTCCACTGAAAAGTGGAGAAATTTTATACCTGAAGGTTTCTTGTGTCTGTTCATGGTTGCGCTCGTGCTACAGAGACCCTGGGCTCCAGAACCCTTTTCCAGGCCTGGGTCTCCTGCAGTCAGTGCCGGCCCTGCCTCTCCCTCCTGTGTCCTTGGACACAGTTGGATCCTGCTGTGATGTCACTTGACTGTGTGTGTGTGTGTGTGTGTGTGTGTGTGTGTGTGTGTAGCAGATAGTGAGGGCTGAAACAGTCCTCACATCCCGTAGTCAGAGCTTCCTGGAAGGCAAGCACAGTCTGTATCCACAGAGCAAGCCAAATGCTATCCAGGTGCTGGCTTCGTATCTTGTGTCTTCTACTTCTTTTACGCCTGAAATCTGATTTCATATTAATACACTGAACCCAATGCTGACTTCCCTTGTCAGCTCTGTGATGATGGCACACAGGCACACAAGTCTGCTGTCTGTATCTCCCTCTGCAGGGAAATCTGAATTACTAGTCACCTGATCACTACTTTCATACCCACCATGCTCAGCTTTACCACCATAGGTCAGAGCAACGTAAAGCATCCATAGGAATCGGCCCCGAGCAAATCATGACCATAAACAGCACACGCATATTTATGAAAAAGTTCCTGCAGGGAAGACCCAGGGCTGCTGCCACCTGCCTGGCACAGATGACTTTCCACTCAGAATCTCTGTGAAGCCCTGATCCGTGCCCCTTCTTGTTTCACTCTTTTTTGTTTGTTTGTTTTGTTTTTTGAGACAGGGTCTCACTATGTAGTTGAGACTGACCTAGAACTCACTTATGTGGCCCAAGCTGGTCTCAAACTCACGGCCATCCTCCTGCCTCAGCCTCCTTAGTGCTGGGATTACAGACATGCGTCACCACGCCCAGCTTCCTGTTTCACTCTTAAAAAGACCTGTAGGAAGGAAGTCTACCTATGAACAAAAATCCTCAACAGTATATTATTTAATGGAACTCCTCAACCTTTCAAAGGGATCATGTACATAAGTGAGGTTTGTTGCAGCAGTACAATATGAGTCTCATCACTGAAAAAAATTGATGTTATCCTCTCTGTTTCAGAAAGAAAACGTGGAAAGGCACATGGGAAAATCACTGCTCATTAAACAAAGTGCGGACTTAGGTAACTTCTTCAAGCTGGTGAGTAGCATATAGCAAAACACAAAAGCACAGGTAATAGGGCAGTAGATGGCAAGATAGTAAATGTTTTTCTCCTAAGGTTGGGAACAGGGCCAAGATGTCTACTCTTGGTGCTCACATGTCATTTGCAGTGGATGCCCAGTGTCCCAGAAAGTGCTGGAAGAACAGGGTTGTCTGAGCCTGAATCCCATCTACAGTGGAGTAAAAACAGTGTTGATCCGCATGGTTGTTGCAAGTCTTACAGGGTTGTTACATGAAAAGCACTTGGAGGATGGTTTGGGAAATTCCAAGTTCTCAATAATGTCAGCATTTGTTACTAAGCTTTTTATACTTAAAAGTGAGTCAGGAAACTTATGTTTCCAACAATGGTAGAATAAAATGTTGGATCAAATCTTTCACTAAGTCAGGAGTTCTGAGCTGTTTTCACAACTTTTTAGGAAGATTAAAGAAATGTAAAAATTATGATTTAGGTTTGCATGAGTCTGTAGGAATAATGGGACACCCCTGGTGCTCTGCTTACTTCCCATTTTGAAAATGTTAATTTCCTATTACAGCCAGATGCCGATGTTGATATAATTTACCAAACTTCTTCATATTTTCCCAACCTCACTTGTACTTGTTTGCATATGTATTAAACTCCATACCATCTTATCACCTGAATATGTATACCCTCTCCCCCCATCAAGATTCTTGTTGTGGGCTAACATTAAAGATCATTGAAAATTTAACTTGCGTCCCCTTGAAATTCACATCTTGAGGTCCCAAGGTCCTATGTGATAGTATCTTTGGGTGAGGCTTGAATAATCAGTGAGCTGAGGCCATGAGATGGGGCCCCCACTGTGGGATTTAGGGCCCTCCTCAGACAAGGGAGAGAGACCAGAGCTGTTTCTCTCCCATGTGCTGAGGGCAAGGAAGAGGCCCTCACAAGAAACCAGACTTGAACTTGACCTCCCACTCTCCAGAACTGTGGGGAATAAATGTCTGTTTAAGCCACACAGTATGTGGTTCTTTGTTAGGGCAGCCACAGTGTAGCTAATATTGTAAACATTTCATTTTAAATAGTTTAAATGCCAGGAGAATGCTTTACATTGCCTGTTTCTAACCTCCCTTTGTTTCTAAAGTGTTGTCAACTCAGAAGTGTTACATAAATGAGATTTTGCAGTGTTTAACTTTTTCTTCCTTGGTTTTTCCATTCAATGTGATTCACCCACGTTTTTAGGCATAAGCGGTTCTTCACTGCTCATTTTCCATGGTGTGTTTATGAAGCCATCCAACAAATTGCAGGATATCTGACTCCAGTGTGGGGTTATTCCACATAGAGCCACTATGAGCCTTTGTGTTCAGGTTTTCTTGTGAACACGAGTTTTCATTTCTTTGGGGTAGAAATGCCCAGTGGCAGAAATGCTGGGACACATTTGGCTTTTTGTTTTGTGTTGTATTCATTTGTGTGTGCGTGCAGGAGTGTATGTGTGTATGCTACTGGGGATTGAACCCAGGGCCTTTGCACTGAGCAACATCCCCAGCCCTTTTTTATTAGTACATGTAGTGATTCTATTAAAACCTGTAGTGATTGTCCCGATTTCATTCCCTGTGTTTTTGTCTTATTTTTGACACATGCTAAAGCTTTTTGTTTTAGTTTACTTTATTAATCTGTGCGTGGCACATGACCTTTGCACTCACTGTGTGGTGGAGTTGGTACCTGTACATAACACATTCCAGTTTCTTTTGTCACTCCCTTCCCTACTCTTTGTCCCCTCCCTCCCCATCCATCCGTCCCTCAGTCCCCGTTCCCTTTTAGAAATGTCTACCTCCCTACTTATTATCATCTACCTCATATTTTGCTCTTTATTTTTATTCTGGTTTTCTCATATAAGAGAAACCATGTGATATGTAAGCTTGTTTGTCTCATTTATTTCACTGAACATTATGGTCTCAAGGACCTTCCGTTTCCCCACGAGTGACTCAAGTTTAGCCTTCTTTATGCAGAACGGTATGCCGATGTGTACACCACATTTTCTTTATCCATTCATCTGTTGATGGACATCCAGGCTGCTTCCAAGATTTAGCTGTTGTGAATTGTGTGCTATAAACATGAGTATGCATGGATCACTGTAATACGCTTTTAACTCTTTCAAGGAGGTACCTAGAAGGGGAATGGTTGGGTCGAATGGAATTTTTAGGTTTACTTTTTTGAGGAATCTCCATACTGATTTCCATAGTGGTTGTCCTTGCTAGTTTACATTCCCACCAACACTGTAAAAGGGTTCCTTTTTCCTCACAGCCTCTCTAGCATTTGTTATTATTTGATTTCTTGATGATGGCCATGCTTTCTGGTTTAAGATGGTATCTCTGTGGTGTTTATTTCTATACTTTCTTGGTGCTTTCCTGGTTTCTCATTCCCTTGTTTCTGTCCTCTTGCCCTCCTAAGAGTTACTTTAACACCATTGATTTCAGAAGTTAAAATGCATTTAAAGCATCCAGTTGCCCACCAGGCAATGAGGAATCATGAGGGTGAGGTACAGAGAGGACCACCATCCTGAGGAGCCCAGCAATCAGGTCAGTCTCTATCCTGCAGCCCAGGCCCATCTGGAAGAAAATGGCGAATTGTGCACAGCCAAAAGTCACAAGTGTAGAAAGGAGCCTGCTAAAAGCAGAGGCCTTGGGTAGCACCTTCTGCTTGGGCTGGGACCACAAAGGCAACCTCCAGGAGCTTCTACCCCTGTCACGAATACCATGCAAGTCACTGCACAGATCTGCAGGCCTTCTTGTTCCGTCAAGTGGTTAAAAGAGCTTTTAGATCTTACCAGCCTCTGATTATTAAATTTGCTCCCATTGGTGAATGCATAGTTGAAAAAAAATTGGAGAACTAGAAGAACTAGGTGTTTCATTAGATTTTCTAGGAAGGCTAGGTTTCTGTTTTGATGTTAAGAAACTAAGACTAATAATAAGATGCTAGCTTCATAAAGTCAGAAAACACTTGAAAAGCAATTTAAACTTGAATGGCAGGTGGCAGGAAAATTGGGAAACATACTGAATTTGGAAGATCTTATTAATAATTTACACAAAATAGCAAAAGGAGGAGGATGCTGAACAAAACTTGGGGAGGGTGGAAGAGAGCAATTCCTCTGACTTTTAAATCTCTTATTTACAAGTAGTAAGATCAGCTAGTTTAAATTATGTTGCCTGACATACTCAACTATTTCATCTTGACAAAGGAGCCAAACAACCTCTTTGGAGGAAAGATGGCCTCTTTAATAAATGATGTTGTGAAAACTGGCTTTCAACTTGTCAAAGAGTAAAACTAGACCTGTATCTTTCACCATGCACTAAACTAAAATCCAAGTGAATTAAAGATATAAATACCAGAACAGAAACACTAAACTTGCTGGAAGGTAAGTTAGGTAGAACTCTCTAAGACTATAGAAACAAATCCCTAGTAGCACGGGAACAAAGCACAAAGAATCAACAATTGGGATCTCATCTTTTTAAAAGGCTCCTGCACTGCCAGAGAAAGCGCAAGCAGAGCTAAGAGACATCCTACCATGTGGGAAAAAATTTTACCAGCTATTCCTCAGATGAAGGTCTACTATCTAGAATAGATAAAGAACTCAAAAAAATTCACACACCCCCAAATATAAAGACCCAATTCAAAAAAGGGCATCTGAAATGAACAGACATTTCTCAGACAAAGAAGTGAAAAGCAGCAAATAATCATATGAAAAAATGTTCAACATCACTGGTCACTCAAGAGATGCAGATGAAAACAACACTGAGATTCCATCTCACCCCAGTAAGAATGGCTGCTATCAAGAAATCAACCAATAACAAATGCTGGTGGGGCTGTGGGTTGAAAGGAACCCTTCTTCATTGTTGGTGGGAGTGCAACCACTGTGGAAATCAATATGGAGATACCTCAAACAACTAGGATTAGAAGTCCCGTTTGACCCAGCTTCTTTGCTGGGTATCTTCCCAAAAGAATTAAAAGAATCATACTACAGCAATATATGCACACCCATGTTTATAGCTGCACAGTTTGTAATAGCTAAAACTTGGAAACAGCCCAGTTGCTCATCAACTGGAGACTGGATAAAGAAGATATGAGTTTTTTTTTTTTTAAATAAAATGAACTACTATTCAGCCATAAAGAACAAGAAACTAGATTTATAGCTAAGTGGATGCACATTTAGGCCATACTCTTAAGTGAAATTTGTAAGTTACAACCAAATCATTTCTCTGGTATGGAAAAGTAAAAGTGTAAATAAGGATTAAAATGTATAATTGATATTGTGTAACTGGAAGAAAAGTCTAAAAGAATAGAAGAAGTGGGAGGGGTAGGGGAAAGGTAAAAGGAGAAAAGAAAAAATATGTGAGAAGGAAAAACATGGAAACAATGTCTTTGTAAACAGGGAAGGGTGGAGGGGCAGAGGGGAGGGCTGGGGAATGGGGAAAAATAAGAACCTCCTAAGTCATGTATAGGCACAAGATCCCAATGATGAATGGAACTGTGTTGTATACCTAATATGTACCAACAAATTTAATAAAGATTAAAAAAATAATTTGGAGACACCAGCTAATTTGTGTTCACTGCATACAAAGTCTGACCATGAACACACGCAAGCCAAAAATGAAACAGCTATCAAAGGGTTGTGAGTGATAAAAATTTCCCAGAAAGCTTTTAACGTTTCCTTTGTCTTCTTTGCCACTATTTTAGAAGATAAATAAGCCATTAATGGATCAAGTCTTCCTCTCAGAATTTTAACTGTCATTGTTACAGAATGTACTTTCTTACTAAGCTAACAGCAAATTCTAAAATGAATTTAATGCAACAATTTAAATGTTCAGACAGCATTTGAATGGTGATGCTTTGAAACGGACTGATTTTGTTGTCAAGTCACTATACTGACTTGTCACTGCATTCACTTACTGCATTAACCCATTGATGAGGGTCAGTTCTCAGCACGAAGCTCACACATTCTGGGAAGTCTAACTGCAGACCGGACTGATGGGGTGTTGACTATACACCATCCAGCTTTTCCAACTTTAAAAAAAAAAACTATAAGCCATTTCCAGTTACTCTATTGTATTTTATTAAGAGATTTTGAATGATACAAAAATTAGGTGCAGCCCTTCATTGGTATCATTTAAAAATAACACTTCATTTCAGGAAGCGCTGAAGTTGTTATATTGTTAACTATGTCACTTTCCTTCTTCCTATCTGATTTTTCCTTTCTTTCCAAAAGAGTTAAGCTGTTTCATCTACTTACGAGCTAAGTGATACATGAATGTGCAGGAAGACTGTGGTATTACTTGTGGGCCATGCATCTGCTTTGCTTTCCTTTTTTTAAGGAAAGCTTTTCTTCCCAGGGCTTCCTCTTCCTCTAAGAAGCCACATGTGACCCTCTGCTCCTTCCCAACTGCTGGCCTAGAGCTCTAAAGCCCCGCTTTTGATTGTTAGGGTTTCTAGAGGGACTGAGATGACCAGGCAGGTGGGAACAACACCCAGGATGTGTAAGTCTTGGTGAAGGTGGCTTCATCTTTGATTTCAGTAAGCACCTGACAGGTGGGAAATTCAAATATTTCTTGAAACAGAGCTCAATGATCTTGGCTACCATGTGTTTTAATACCTGTTACCACTAAGAATTATGTCACAGGTTTTTGCCATTGGGAACCCCCGGCCACTTGTGGAGTGCAGTGTGACATCTCAGATGTGGTCCTGCCTGATTCCTTTGCCAGATTCTGCACAGCGGTTTGCAAGGGTGGAGTGGCCTGTATTTCATTTGGGAGGGTGTGTGCTCTTTTACAACCCTGGATCTTCAAAGACCCCAATCTGAAAGATATTTGTGTTCTGTTACTACTTGGGACCAGAAAAACAAAACAAAAACCAAACACCATTTTATCTCATTTGATTTTTAATGTGATTAATAGAGATTTGATTTCCAAAGAAGCAGATCATTACAGACAATAGGAAACACTGCGGAGATGGTGTCTGAACTCTGCTCCTTAGGTCGATGCTGGGCTACATGGAAAAGAAACCTCTGACCATGGAGTCTTCACTATTATAAAAATCAGAGCACATAGCTAATCAGGGATCAGCAGTGCTATTTTTTTTTTTTTTTTTTTTTGGAGACAGGGTCTCACTATGTAGTTGAGACTGACCTGGAACTCACTATGTAGCCCAGGCTGGTCTCAAACTCACAGCAATCCTCCTGCCTCAGCCTCCCAAGTGCTGGGATTACAGGCGTGTGCCACCATGCCCAGCTCAGCAGTGATTAATTTGATGGCAGAATAGCATGTATGATGCACCTGTCAGTGCTGGAGTCTCTATCCTTTGGAAAGAACCATGACAAGAAACACCCACCGGTATAGCCTGCTGCTGGGGACAAAGTTCATTTCATTGATTTCAACAGTTCTGCATTTTTCGTGTTCTATCAGTTTAAGGAGATTCCTACATTCTTCAGGAATGATTAGAAATGCCCTTCAGCCTGACCATGAAATACAAATATTCTGTAATCTAGGTGCAAGAAGTTTTCTACCCGAGTTATAAGACTGGACAATCTATAGAGTGCATTTCAAAGAAAAGTACTCACTCAAGAGTAATTTAAAGTGCAATGCATAAGATACTTTAGTGCAAAGTTGCTAAATATATACATGTTATGTGCCAAGTTCAAAGAAAGTAGTGTTTATCTACCCCTAAGGGAGAGAATCTGGGAAAAATACCCTCAAGTCTTTAATCCTCTACAGGGTCAGGTGTTTGGGTGTGTGTGTGTGCGCGCGCGCGTGTGCCCCAAAATATGTATTAACTGCTCGATGGCCTCTGCAGATGTCTGAAACTGTTTTTTTAGAATGTGAAACTTACACATTGACATAATCGTGCAATCTCCTTATATGCAATTCCATCTCAGAGAAGCATTAAGCTTGTAGCAATGGTTGAGCAATTTCAGCCTGCGTATCTTGTAAGGCAGGTGCTTGGCTGTCAATTAAGTGTTTAATGAAAATTACAAAAAATACAATCACTATAACGCAGCCAAGAGAGACCCCAAGGAAGTAAGGGTAGGACTCCTCTTGCCCAAGCTCTCCTAAGTGGTCATCCCCCAGGAGGAGGGTCGTGCTCTGTGTATAAGGAATTGCTTTTGGAGCTGCGGAACTGAGCAGGTCCTGGACATTGCTGAGGGATCCATTGTGTGGCAGGGCGGTGATACTGAGGAGGTGGCACAGCAGGGGGTACAGATCTGTGGAGTTCATGGCTTCTTTTGTGAAATTCTTTCGGAAGGCAGGACCGTGGGCTAAAAATATTGGATGCATTTCTGCTAATGCATTATCATAACCATGGTTGCCTACTGTGAAGAGAAAATGCATGAATAAGTTATCCACCCGGGAGGGCATTACAATGGAAATTAACTGTTGTATGGTGAAGTTCTGAACTTCAGTGCAAATTTGATCTCAGTTCCATTTTGAAAATAAATATTTTTTTACAATCTCTGCTGTTGTCAACCCCACAATTCAGGAAATGAGAGGTTGGAAGGATCAGGAATCTTCCCCACGGGCCAGCTCTTCCTGAATGCAGCACCCCAGGAGGAAGGGCAGAGAGCAAGCTGAGCCATGTCAAGGGACAAGAGAATGAATTATTTTGTCCTTGCTTTTGTTTTGTTTTGCCTGGTGGCTGGCAAACTAATATTCAGCCAATACTTAGGTGGATAACTACTATGTCCGATTATTGTTCTAAAGATAATGATGCTCTTAATCACGAAAATAATAAATTCATAATTGCCGATAAAAGGGTGAAAACAATACATAAAAAAAGATATCCCACAAAAGTCAGACCTTTAGGTATAGCTGTGGTCTGCTACTAAAAAGCAAAGGTCAGGACTTATAGGTAGAGTGGAAAGATCAGGACTTGGGTGACTCTAAACAGGGTCCAGCCTGGCACTGTGTGTTTCAGGGTGGCTGCCAATAAAGAAGGACTCGAGGGATCTTCTGAAATCAGTATCAAGTGACCCAAAATTGAGGGATGGAAATTCTACCTTTTACAGGCAAGGGTGTAAGACTGCTGAGGAGACAGCAGCTAGGAAAATAAACACCTTTATTTCAAAGGTGTTGAGGGGACTACAAGCGACTCAACTGTGATGCTTATGCCTGCTACAGGAAAGTAGGCAATGGGACACAAATACAGAAAAAGAAAATCCTAAGCCAGTTCCTCTGGAAATCAAGAGCTGACCTTTGGTCAACTTACAGCAACTGGAAATCTGCCCAGCAAACCCACTTAAGGAACTCTCTCTAACTGTCATGATTTCAGTAAAAATAATGGCCGGCTTATGACTCAATAGTAATTACCTAACAGGGTACTATGCTAATATAATTGCTACTAATAATGAGAAATATGCCACTAAATCATTTGTAATTGATCGAATGGTTGCTATAATTCTGTGAGATGTTGGATCTAGGCTCTCAGTCATGAAGGGAGAGATAATGCTCTCGTCCTACTTCTTGTTAGAAAATCAGATTTAAAATAAAATCGCTGTGACTTCCACAGGAATTTTCCCCTTCTTAGGGACTTTGTTTTACAGTGGCAGCACCTGCTAGTTATGCCGGATTCAGTAGCCAGTGTTTTGTAGCGGATGTCTAAGGGCAGTGGTTGTCAAACCTCCCCAAGTAAGGAACTCCTTGGGGGTGTGGAAAATGCAGATTGAGAGGCCAAAATAGCACAGTCTCTTAACTCGGCAGGACTGGCTCTCCAGCCCAAGAAAGCGTTTTTCTGACAATTCCCAGGTGATTCGGTTATACTGGCTAGGAACACACTTGGGGAAATACTGCTTTTGGTCTTTAGGGCTTCATTATCTTGCAGAACTCTGGCTGAGAAGGGACTGTAGGAGCCAATATTTAATTATTTGTTGAATAAATGAGCATAATGTAATAGAAACAGGAATCCTGTTGAGGTTTGCCTTAAAAAATAAAGGTGCTCACTGTGCTGTGTAAATAGAGCTCATAAAGTCAACATTTCTAGAGATCCTTTTTAGATTTATAACTCAACTACGAATCTCCCCACAAACAGCAGTCCCCTCGAGCCATCCCACTAATAAGAGCGACCAGCACAGCGCGTGAAAAGAACACACAGAGGTGAAAATTATTCTCATGGTAAGGAAATTCTTTTTAAAAGTGTTCTTAGAACAGTTTCCCTGACATGGTTAAATATTGGTTTGCAGATCAGTATCTGTAAGTACAGACTTTCAGAACCGGGAATGACACACCTGTACACATCTGCTATTTTGAGTCACAAATGCGCCACACATAGCATCACCATGCACTTACTTTCCATCTAGTTAATAAGCATGAAGGGATAGGAACCCAAACCTATCTACAGGGACATTTTTGTACATTTCTTTTTTCAGTGCTGGGGAGCAAAGCCAGGGCCTCACGCATGTGAGACAGGTGTTGTACCGCTGAGCTCCATCCCAGCCCTGTACACTTTTTATGTACACATCAAGGACCACTGCCAACATTTCTAGAGAAAGCAAACATTTCTAGAGATAGGTCAGTATCGACACACACGGTTCCTTCAACACTTAAGTAAGCGAGGATAAGAACATCAGCAAGTAAACTGCTGTATTATCCACAGCCTCCATGTTAGCAAAAATCGATGCAGAATGGGAAGAAATACGATAACATACTCACACAGAAATTCATCTGACTTATTCTGTAAAATATACCACCCTTCATCAGCCACCGCCACAACCGGCTGGATCCGCCTGTTGTTTTTGTAACTCCATCGCTCTGGCACCTCCTCTTTTTTGTAAACAGTGAGGTTAGGATGAGCATCAGCCAGTGCTTCGTAGACTTCATCGAGCTTACCTAAAGAGAAGGTAGAACAGGACCCTCGCTGCTACAGCAAGCTCAGTTCCCCGCAGGGAGGCAAGCCAGTCGCGGGGGAGGACTCTGACCCTGGGGGCAGAATCTTACAGGGAAACAAATAATTACTCCTGTCCTAAGCAAATGCACCTGGGAGAACTGAGCAAGGGCTGTCTGTAGAACCAGAAGGCTCTACTCTCTAAAGCCTTCAATATGCACGTGCATGCGCATGCACGCTCGCGCACGCGCACACGCACACACACGCGTGTGTATTGGCAACACTAAGTGGAATGTCTAGGGCACTGCAACACCGAGTCATAAAGCAAGAGTTAGGTTCTGGTCGCTGTACCCTAAGGGCAGAGACAGAATCTCCAGAAGAGAAGATGTGGGCCCAAGAGGGGGCTGGAGAGGAGGCAACTGTGACCCAGCCAGTGCCCACGGAGTCTGTTTACACAGCCCTGGGCACAGGCTTTGGTCTTTGTTTCTCAGCTGCCTTGCTGGGGCTCTGTCCCTGCTCCCACACCCCAGGAAGGGAACACTATTGCCAGGTATGAGGGCAGCTGGGTTATGGTGACTCTGAAACCTGTGTGTGGGGTGCACACTCCCACTCCAACATCCATGGCATCATGAGATTCTCTTCCTTCCCCTGGGAGGCACAGAATTCTCATCTGTGAGCTATTACAGCTTTTCACATCTGTTCTCTCTTCACAGCTAAGGTCCCCAGACCCACAAGGGGATACAGTGTAGGTCAGAGGGCTTGAGTCATGTTCTGCCTTGATTTTGTGACCTTGGGGGTGTTAAACCTTTACCTGTCTTTAAAATGGAGCTACTGCTGAGGCTATTACTTTCTCTGCTTACAAATAAGGACAGTTCAGGTTGATGAAAGCTCTTTCTTATACTCTGCTGCTTCCCTGTTAGGCAGGTCTCCATTAAGAGACTGTAGAAGATGTGAAGTGCCTCATGAAATCACTGGAATTCTACCCAAACTTTGTATGTATCCCTGCATCTTGTTTTCCTGAGAGGGGAGGTTGTAACTTTTATCATTATCTTTGATTCCAAAATAGTTGACACCTACTGCCATAAAATATAGACTGCATGAAGTTTAATATTCTAGCAAGAACACTAGACCCTGAGATTTTGCCATCTTAGAGCCTAAGGATGGGTCACAGAGCACTGTTGGGACACAGGCAGGTGTGCGGTAGTGACACAGACAAGGAGTCCCTGTTTACTCACACACAGGGCCAGATGGATCTAGGCTCAGCTTTGAATCAGGTCACACTTACCTTCTTTTGGTAAGATGGCGGCTACTGGAGATTGGTCAATCAGGGTGTAGTGGTCTCTATCCAGATACTGGTCAAGCTCTATCACCCTTTCCTTAGAACACTGGGTCATGCCATGGTCACTTGTGACGATGAGGTTCACCACGTTCCACAGTTTTGCTTTCTTCAGCATTTGAATGAGATATCCTAACTTGTGGTCAATATCTGAAATGACAGGCCCCATGAGAGGATTATCAGGTCCCAACTGGTGGCCCATGTCATCAGGGTCTTCCCAGTAGAGGAGACCAAGATTTATGGGCTCTTCTGATGTGAACCATTCTATGATTTGGGCAACTCTTTCTTCAAATGAAATGGACTCGTTGTAAGGCAGGTAGTGAGTTGGAAAGCTGTTGTGAATCTTTACATCACCTCCCGGCCACATAGCTGAACCACTCGCATGTCCGGCCCTCTGGTTTGTGATCCATATTGGTGTGGCTTCTTCCCAAAACTCAGAATCATAAATATTCATGTGGTCCAGGGAGAAAGATCTGTTCAGAATAGGATCAAACATGTCATTTGCCACAATCCCATGATTCTCTGCAAAGAGGCCAGTGACCAGAGTATAGTGGTTGGGGTAAGTCTTTGTAATGAAAACGTTAGTAACCTGCTTCACATGCACACCGTGTTTCATGAGATCGTGAAAATGGGGCGTCGGAACTTTGTATAAGTAATCCCAGCGGAATCCATCAAATGAAACGAGTAGAACCTTTTGCTGGTCTGGTCGGAGAGCAAATGTAGTTGAAAGACTTAGGATAGCAATTGTGAAGGACACTGAAAGTAGCTTGGAAGTCATTTTCAAAGTACTCGATCAACTCAGTGTAAGATAATCTGTAGAAAAACCATAGAAGAAGTCAAAGGTGATAATTTTATTTTGTATACTTTACTCCAAAGTGATAGGGACCGTGCTTATAGTCTCCCCAGTTTCATCTTAACTCAGGCTGAAGAATGACATGACAGTGTCAAACAACAGACCTGGGCCTACGGGGATAAGGAAAATCAGTTTAGTTGTATCTAGAAAACATTTTTATTTTCTAAAAATTCATCAAAATAATCCTCAAAGGAATTATTTCAGTGAGCTCCCAGTGGCATTTTAAAATGTGATAGTTTCAGGTTACATACAGTGTTTTAGGTTTACATATCATGTTTCAACTTTTGACTAGAAACTTTTATAGTCACATAACTATGCAGATATTCACTATGGCTAGAATGACTGTAGGAATGTAGCAACAAGAAAGTATCATTAGCAAACCCAGTAATAGTGCTCAAAAATACACACACACACACACACACACACACACTTTGATTTTCAAAGTCAATATCTGTGTTTGAGTCCTCATGGTAAGAGGTACCACAGAGAGGAAAATGAATGAAACTGGTAAAATAACGTACAACTTTCAAGTATGGTTGTGAAATGTAATCTGTAGTCATTTTTTAGTAACCACATCATAGCCTTCTGTAACTAAACAGATTCTAAGCATAAACAGAAACATAACCCTGAAATGGATGTCAAGCTTCCTAATGTTACAAGTTAGCCAGCAGTTCATCTTATCAGTGGGGTGGGTGTGCAGAAAAACCAGTTCTCAAGGTGCAATTTCTTCTGCTGTAGGTTGTTGTTTTTAACCTGCATACATTTCTACTCCAGAAAATTAACAAAAGGCAGTATGGATAAACAGTTCATAATACCTGTTCCCACTAGTCTGCATTTCAAGCTAGGGTCTCCTGTTCTCCCCTTTACCTCCCCATCTTGTAGGAAGGTATTTTTTAAACATAATAAATTTGCATCAAGCCGGGCATGGTGGCACACGCCTGTAATCCCAGCACTCGGGAGGCTGATGCAGGAGGATCGCTGTGAGTTCGAGACCAGCCTGGGCTACATAGTGAGTTCCAGGTCAGTCTTAACTACATAGTGAGACCCTGTCTCAAAAAACAAAACAAAAATTTGCATCAAGCCATACTTTGTGTAGAGAGATCTTCTGAATTTAACTTTTATTTACTTTCTTGAACTTAACTTTTAACATCGTCCTAAATTTAACACAATTAAGACTTTAATCATATTTTTTTGCTTTTGGCACTGGGTATTTGGGTATGAACCAAGGGGCTGGTATTTTGTGCAAGCCGTCCACCTCTGAGCTGCACCCCTAGCCTGAGTGAAGACGGTTTTAAGCCTCCAACAAGAGCCTATCTGGCCTTGCTATGTCACAGTCAGGAGGTTATAAGACCTGCCTGCCACACTTCTGCACAAACTGTAAAGTACATGTACCAGCTCAGGGCAATAGTTCTTTGTTTTTTAATCAATTTTCCCTTAATGAGATATCACTTATGATGAAACTGTTTTTCACGTTGGTCACAGGACAATGGTTGAGAAATTAAAATTAAAAAATATTTCTTCGGTGGCAATACATTTTTTTTTTTTTCTGATTCAGGAAGCAACATTAGAAATAGCTGCGATCCGGAACTGCAATAGGAAACTGCAAATCCACCTGTTTACATCTCTGGCGTTGCATCAGGATCTCCTCTTCTCTTCTCCCCTCTCCCTTCTTCCCAGCTTTTTCTCTAGCTTCCTAATGTAAGGGAAGCTGGTAGCACGCACATAACCCAAGACTAAAACAGTAACATGGGCACCTGAAGCTGGTCAATTCATTCGGTAATCACCGTAAACAGAACACAACTGGGCAAACCACAGAAGGCTCGGAATAGGGGCTGCTGGAAGCTGGGGAAAGGAGCCACGGGGATCTCCCGGAGGCAGCAGGTAGGGGCGGGCTCGGAGGGAGCGGATTCTTCTCTCCTGCCGCACAGACACTACAGAGGCCAGGCCCGGCGGCGTCAGGTACCAGGTATGATACCGGCTCCCATCCACCCAGGCCCCGGCAGTACCGCAGGTGGGTTCTGGGGTGCGTTGATCTCGGGGCGCTCCCCCTTACCTGCAGCCGCAGGCTCACAGTCTCTGCGAGGACCAGGCCGGCCAGCCGCGTCGCTTTGTCGGGGACTCTGCACCTGCGCAGCTTCGCGGGGACCTGACCGCGTCC